AATGGAACCAGTCGTCCCACAATTTAAACTAGGGCCGATCACCTTCAACTGCACGGATCATCCGGTTAACACTAATCAGGGTAATCCAGCCGCACTAGTCCTCGACCCAATAATTGACGGGTTCCACCTCACGCAAGTCCTTATGGACGGAGGTAGCAGTCTAAACCTACTTTACCAGGACACAGTGCGCAAGATGGGCATCGATCATTCGGTGATCAAGCCCACTAAAACCACCTTTAGCGGTATTATACAAGGTGTGAAGGCCTGCTATACAGGCTCCATCGCCCTTGAGGTAGTCTTTGGATCACCAGACAAATACCGTGCCGAAGAGTTAATCTTCGACATCGTCCCCTTTCGCAGTGATTATCAGGCACTGCTCGGACGAACCGCGTTCACTCGATTCAATGCAGTACCACATTATGCCTATCGTAAGCTCAAGATGCCCGGTCCGCGCGGCGTCATCACGGTTAATGGCAAGGCCGAATTTTCCCTCGGCACCAAGGAGTATACCGCTACTTTAACAGCGGAAGCTACAAGTAGCACCTTCCAACCAAACCTCGAGTCAACAGCCCGACTCCCAGACACCGCTAAAGGACTTCGAAATACTTTGCGGTAGGATAGCCCGGCTCGTCCAGAGCTCAACTAAACACTCCGGCGAAAGCCATGACAGGCCACATACCGCGGCTCAACCGCTCTGCGGCACACAAGCATTTCTTACACTTTGTTTGCAGGTTTAACTTTGCGGAGACTAGGACTGGCCATATGGAAGCAGCTCGAATGCGCAAGGGAATCCTTAGATATTCCCCGCGATGACCACCCGTCTATACTCCGGATCCGCACACAGCTTCTTCCCCCTGGTCTCAACAGGTTCCACAGTCATATTCCTTTTTTACCACATTACCTGTACTCACACGCATCAATGTACTATTCAAATACAACATGTGGATTTATCTAACATTTATCTACTGTTATTTCTTATTGAAATTCTTTTATCAAGTGGCATCCGTACACCGTGATATGCTTTAAACATGCGAGGGGCTTCGCTTTACCCATAATACGGCAATAAAGTCTGAACACCTTCATGGAAGTTCGGCACCCCGAACTTATAACATTATATGCATCAGCTCTGAATCATGTCTTGGGTCAAAAGTTGGGTTTGCCCGGCTCCCATGTTTTGCTGCCTTATGTTCCGCTATATCGGCTAAGGCGGCACAGGGAGAACTACTGCGATTGTGTCCCGGTTCTTCCGGATGAGCACCTCAGTAGAGAAAGCCGAAAACTGACTGTCATGATACGGCGAGAGCTGGTCAGCTGTTCGAGAGGTTGTAAAATCTTTAAGGATTTCTCCCGCATAATGCCATAACCAATGCAGCATGCGATGGATTGGCTTTTCTTCCTATCAGGTGCTTATATAGCCCCTTGTACGGTCTTCCGAACACCAGGGGTTGCACCTACCTTCCTTTTATAAAGCTCCTATGGCTAAGTGAGAGTGATAAAGCCCTATAGTCCGATTGCCTGGTTCGTTGTGCTGAACACCTCCTTCGAAGGACCCAAAAATGGGATAAAGAGTGATCAGGTTTATCCTGAACACCCCCGTACTTCCTACGTGGGGGCACAAGCCGATGACTGGCCAACTCTCAGGTTTAATATATAAAACGGCCGCGCAGGAGGATAAACTTTTATATAACAGGCAATAAATAATAGAAATGACCTTGTTCAACATTACAAAGGACAACATGATTGTATTCATGGAAATATAATATCCTTGGTACATTGCTCCGCCGCTAGGCAGGATCCTTTTAGGACACTTTTTCATAATATAATTCGGGCTTGCGGTGCTCCTTCCCCTCCGGCGGTCCCACCGTCATCAGCTTTTCAGCATCCATCTTCCCCAGTGCACCTTTGCACGGGCGAAGGCCATTCGTGCACCCTCTATACAGACCGACCGCTTGATGACTTCAAGTCGAGGGCAGGCACTCACAAGCTGCTTCACGAGCCCAAAGTAGCTGCTCGGAATCAGCTCGGCAGGCCATAGCCGGATAATCAAATCCTTCATGGCTAGTTCGGCCGCCCTATGCAGTTCGATCAGCTGTTTTAGTTGGTCGGCAAAAGGCACTGGATAATTCGGTGCCAGATACTGCGACCAGAAGAGCTTATCCGCAGTGTTCCCTTCTTCGGCCCGGTAGAATTGGGCGGCATCCGAGATGCTGCGGGGCAGTTCCGCAAATACCCCTGGAGAAATCCGAACTCAAAATTAGATACATGATTTTCTCCTCAAATACTTGCTTTACATGGAAAAAAGCCTTACCCGTCGCGATTGTCCTCGCCTCTTGGATCTCCTGCAGGGCGCCTTGGGTCTCCCCCTGGGCAGTGCCTGCGGCCTAATGAGCCCTGGCGAGTTCGGATTCTTTCTCCGTTAAACTCTGCTCCAAGGTCTCGCATTTCTTCACGGACTCTTGAAGCTCCTGCTCAGCTTCAATAACCCTGGCCTCGTGCTTCTCACGAAGAGCCTGCTCTGTGGCCGCCTTTTCCTCGGCCTCGGCAACAGCCCTCCTATGAGCCTCGACTTCGGTCATCGCCCCTGGCGCAAATAATGAAACATATGTTATCATACTAAGAATTTGTTCACATTGAACGCGAACAAGGCTCGCGCATACCTTGTTTATCCTCCAACTGCCTTTTCAACTGGCCAAGTTCTTCTTCGGCCCGCTCCAGACTTTCATTCAGTCCAGAGACCTCCGCAGCATGAGAGGCAGCAGCGCTGCAGACGCCTGCTTATGAAAGAAGAGAGATATATGTCATCAAGTGAAGTCTTCCTGAGAAAATAAAATTGATCCTCTATCCGGTCCTTTCTTGACCGAACAGTGTATCAAGGGCTACTATCCATACTATGACACTCTTCGAAACCTCATAAAACATACCTCAAAGCCTCTTATAAGGCTGATACAGGCTTCATTCAGTTCACTCTCAGCAGACTGAATCTCCTTAAGCACCGCACCCATCAGGGCACGGAGTTCATTGACGATGGAGGCTCTCTTCAGCGCCACCGACAAAACATCCGGCACCTCTGGCTGGACAGAGATTGCCAGTGGAACATGCACGCCCCTCCAGCCGAGGGAGGCCGCCTGCTTGATTCGGGAGCCGTATTGGTCTCCGGAATTGTGTCTCAGCAAAGGAAGAAGCGCCCATTCCTTTTTGGCAAGGTTCTCACAGCAGAGCAGAGGAATCACCAATCTAGGGGAAGGAGGAGGAGGAGGAGATGGAGGAGAGGGGGAAGGTGGTGTGCATGGCGAAGCTGGCCGAGTAGGCGGAGAGATACGATGGTATGGCGGAGAGATCCCTTGCTTGGTTTGTTTGCGCTTGCTCCCTGGCCCTGCTTGTGTGCACTGTGTTTGTTCTTGGTGCTTTGCATTTCGGGTCGATCACTGACAAATTCTTGGGGGAATGGAGGGCGGAAGTCGGGGGTTCTTGGTTCCTATGCCCGCTGGAACCTTTGCCCTGCGATTTCCTGTTCGATCTGCTTAGTTTCTCGAGCAGTAGCCTGCAGACCATGTCGGCCATTTTTTTTTCATTTCTGCTGTCCATGTGCAAAATGATCAGTTGATCGCAAATGTTGTGTGGTGATTATTATTCCGTGCTGATTTTGTTTTTGGTGATATTAGGGCTGTCTTGCTGCCCCAGTTTGATAGTAATCTTTTTTCATGATTATTTTGGGCCCAATCTTGGCAAATTTGAGTGCTTGGTGGTTGTGGGGTCTGATTCTATACTTTGAGGGGCCCTGACCATGAGTTGCTTCCTGCTGTTTCATGATGTTCCACTGAGAAAAAGGAGGATCTTCGGATCATCGAAGATGCATTCTGTTCTCTATATGGTACTGCTAATAGCCTAACTACACATGATCTATTGAACTTCCCTAGTGTGGAAGAAGTGGAACTGTGTATTCCATGTTTGTAATAGCGTAATGCTTAAACCTTTTAAGTAATAAAGCGTCCCTTTTCGAAAAAAATGTTTGTAATAGTGTAAAAGGTTGTGTTTTTTCTTTTATGGTTGGACTGGATTGATCTTGATGCTGAAGTATATTGAATTTTTTTTTGGCAATTTGGTCACCATTAAATGCTTATGTCTTCTAACTTCCCAGTTCTATATGCAAAGTAGTACTATGTCACTATCACATTGTGTTGTGCAGGGACCTCTTTACTTTCCCCTTCCAGTTCATTTTGTTGACAACTTGACATAGCATCTAAAACTGGGTCTTGGCATGAGATATAGGAAACCTCCCTAATTGATTGACCTAATTTATGTGATGAAATCATGAGCATTGTTCTAGCATTAGGGCATGTACAGTGGTTGATAAGACAGTGTTATCTTAAGCCTTGCATGTAGTTTAGATATGACAATAAAAGGATGTCTACAATGGGTTATCTCTTAGCCATATCTTTAATAACTAGCAGTTCCTAAAAATATGATGAGTCATATTGTGCTAAGAGATCACCTCTTAAATAAAAGAAGACAAGCCTTTTCTTATGACTTCTCTCTCCTCCACCTCAGCTTTTATCCTAGCTGGCATTCCTAAGATAGCACCATTCTACATGCCCTTATTGGCTTCCACATTCCCTGATTTATCGCAGTTGGTGGTAGACAACATCATGTTCCCCCTTTGCTTGCAACTCTTGTTAACATGTGACTCCTTGCTCTCAGAAACTAGTTTTTTTTTATTTCGGTAAGGGGATAGCCCCGGCCGTTGCATCGGTTGATGCTCCCAGAAACTAGTTAGTGGGTGCTATGCATTCTTCTGGTTTGGATATGTCTCGTTTTGGGAGAACTTTCTTGTCCACCTTTTCTATACACAAATTTTGAAGTAATTCATACAACCAGTTGGGCTGGAAAAGAATTGCTTTTGAATTCTGTTTGTTCCTCCAAAATCTAACAGATAACTTTCATAACTCTTGAGTTTCCATGAAGTTAGTATTAACTCTTAATTCATGGTTGTTCCTGCAGATATGGTGAATTTTATGAAGAAGCTTGCTAGGATGGATGTGGATATGAGTGCTAAAGAGAGGCATTTATTTTCAGTTGGTTTTAAGAATACAATTGGTGCAAGGAGGGCATCATGGAGAATCCTTTCTTCACTTGAGCAAAAGGTGGCAGTGGGCGAGCAGGCTGGCCAGATGATAAGTGTTTACAGAATGAAAGTTGAGGATGAACTAAGGATGGTTTGCAATGAAATATTGTCAATCATCGCTATTCATTGCCTTCCCTTGGCTAATGCGGGTGAAAACATTGTGTTCTTTCATAAAATGTATGTGCAGGTTCATAAATTCAGCTCTTCTTTTGACCAATCGTCTATTGCTGCTCTATGTTGGTCTATTTTCCGGTCATTACATTCAGAGTTCACATGATACTTATATATCCATGTTTTCCTTATCTGGTTTGTACATGCCTAACTTTAAAATTCCAATTATTGACAGGAAAGGTGACTACTACCGTTACCTGGCTGAATTTAGCATTGGGGCTGAAAAGAAGTCTGCGGCTGATCAATCACTCATGGCCTATCAGGTGTGAAACCTTTCAACACGTGCACATCTTCTAACTTACTTCTTGTTCTAAGGCTCGCATTCCACCTCTGACAATCTTCTAGCGAATGTTGTTGCAGCATGCCATGGTTATCGCCTCCACTGAGCTTTCACCTGCTCATCCAATCAGGCTTGGCCTTGCGCTCAATTTCTCAGTGTTCTTTTATGAGATAATGAACTTTCATCAGAGGTCATTCACCCTTAAATGACTCCTTTCGCCCTTTGTTTTGATGTTTTGTAGTTTAAAATAGATACCCTAATTCGTCATGCTTCTCTTTTTAAAATAAATATATAAAATGGGCAGACCTACCAGGAGGCTACTAAGTTCAGATGAACCCATCACATCTTGTAGCCACTTCATTTAGTAGGTTATATGTTTGCTGTAATCTTTTCCAAATATAGAGAATCACGATTCCTCAGAATCTTTATTTTTTGAAAATGGAACCTTTATTACCCCTGGTCTCTGCATCTGAAGATCCATATAGCCAACCTTATTAACTATATGGATACTTATAATTTACATAGTTAAATCCCATAAATGCAATGTTAATTAGTTAAATCCCATAAATGCAATGTTAAATAGTTAAATTCATTGACAGTTTGACCCCATTATCGAAAGTTTTCTGGGTCTCCCCTTGGTTTAGACGATACGGAGATGAATGTTCATTATTCGTGATTCTGCATGTTGGTACCATGGCAGCTTGCTTGTCATCCCAGCATGCTAGTTTGCACAGGTTGTTAGGAGCTAGGGTTCTGCCCGGTCTTGGCCGGAGGCTGTAGGGGAAGGAGGGAGAGGGGCGAGGGCTCGAGCGCGGCAGCCGACGGCGAGGCACCGTCCTTTTGCGTGGGGCGGCGGCGGAGATAGGAGACGGCTAGGGTTTTAGGGTTCCGGCTCCTCTGGGAGGTGGGCAACAGAAATAGTCTTATTGCTTAATTCTCAAAATAGTCTTACAAGTCGTATATATAACCACGATATGAAATAAAACTAAGATAACTTGAGGGCTAAGTTTGCCCAGTGGGCCTCCTGCGGCCATAGACCTGGCCGGTCATAACATCTCTCCCCGCCTGCGCAAACAGCTCGTCCTCGAGCTGAAAGTCGGGATAGTGCTGTCGGAACTCCTCGCGCTGCTCCCAAGTAGAGTCCTCCTCTGGTAGTCCAGTCCACTGAATCAACATTTGCCAGGAGCCTCGCGCGTGGGTCCAAGGACTGCGTAGAGCGATGAAGTAGATGCAGCCAGACCCAATCACCCACCGCGAACTCCGCCTCGCGATGGTGGCCATCATAGTAATGTTTGGCCAACTGTTGGGCCTGTAGGAGCCGTTGCCGGACTTCCGCGAGCATCTCATCACGGCTCCTCAGAAGAGCCCCGGCTGCCTCGGTCCGTGCCAAGGCCGGATCAACCGGAAGGATCAGCGGGAGTGGCCGGCCATACACCACCTCAAAGGGCATAGCACGGAGGGCGGAGTGATAAGAGGTGTTGTAGCAGTACTCTGCCCACGAGAGCCAGTCCACCCATGCGCGAGGTCGATCACCTATAACACAACGCAAATAATGGCAATCACCTTGTTAACGATCTCAGACTGGCCGTCCGTCTGAGGGTGGAAGGCGGTGCTCAGGCGTAGCTTCACGCCCGCCAGCCGGAAAAGGTCGCGCCACACGTGTCCCGTGAACACGGGGTCCCGATCACTAACGATCGAAGAAGGGAACCCGTGGACATGGACAATGCCATCGAAGAAGGCCCGCGCGATAGACGCCGCTGAATAGGGATGGCCAAGTGCGATGAAGTGAGCATAATTGGAGAAGCGGTCAACCATCGTGAGAATGATGGACTTGCCGCCCACCTTGGGAAGGCCCTCGATGAAGTCCATGGAGATGTCCGCCCAAACCTGAGATGGGACCTCCAAGGGCTGAAGCATGCCAGCCGGCCGTAGAGTCTCCATTTTGTTGCGCTGGCATGTCACACAAGACCGTACCCAGTCACGGACCAGGGCACCATCACCGGGAATGTAGAAGTCTGCGCAGAGACGATGGAGTGTCTTCTGCACCCCCTCATGGCCCGCCGAGTGGGCGAGGCGCAGCACCTACTAGCGAAGATCGTTGTGCGCCGGAACAAAGACCCTGCGCCCATGGAGGAGCAGGCCATCGGCGAGGCGCCACGGCTCCTCCAGCTCTCCCGCCGCCAGCTACTGCTGCAGGAGGAGGGAGTCGGTCGCGGCAGCGGTCGCCCGTCGGATGTAGGCGTAGAGGGCGAAGGAGGGCCCGGTGATGATGCAGAAGGCCGCCCCCTCCGCCGCACCATCGTCCACATCGGCGTCACGCCGAGACAGGGCGTCGACGACGGTGTTAAGGCGACCCGACCGGTACTCGACGGTGAAGTCAAAGCCAAAGAGTTTACTGATCCATTGGTGTTGGGGTACCGTCGAGAGCCTCTGATCCAGCATGAACTTGAGGTTGTAATGGTCCGTGCGGATCTGGAAGGAACGACCCCAAAGATAGGGCCGCCAATGGCGTATTGCCTGCACCAACCCAATGAGCTCACGCTCATACGCTGCCAGCTTAAGATGGCGTGCGACAAAGGGGCGGCTAAAGAAAGCGAGGGGTCCATCGCCCTGATGAAGGACCGCACCAGAGGCGTCGTAGTCGACAGTGAATGGGAGGTCGAAATCCGGCATCTGCAGGACAGGTCCCGTCGTGAGGGCCCCCTTGAGGGCCTCGAATGCCGTAGTGGCCTCCTCATCCCAAGAGAAGGCGTCGCGACGGAGAAGACGCGTGAGCGGGGCCGCGATTACGCCAAATTCCCGGATGAACTTCCGGTAGTACCCTGCGAGGCTAAGGAACCTGCGAAGAGCCCGTGGATACTGCGGAATCGGCCACGCAGCGATGGCCGCCACCTTGTAGGCGTCCATGGCCACTCCCTCGGCCGAGATGACGTGGCCGAGGTAAACGACAGAAGGTGTCCCGAACGAGCACTTCGAGCGCTTAAGATGAAGATGATGCGCCCGAAGCTCGTTGAAGACGATAGCCACATGCTGGAGGTGCTCTGCCCACGAGGCACTGTAGATAAGAATGTCATGAAAGAAAACGATCACAAATCGACGCAAGTAGGGTCGTAGGACATCATTCATCAAGGCCTGAAAGGTCGCCGGGGCGTTGGAGAGGCCAAAGGGCATCACCAAGAACTCAAAGTGGCCATGGTGAGTCCGAAACGCCGTCTTGGCGATGTCATCTGGGTGCATGCGCACCTGATGATACCCAGACCGGAGATCCAGCTTGGTGAAGAAGCGCGCCCCGTGCAGCTCGTCGAGAAGCTCATTGACAACCGGAATAGGAAACTTGTCCTTCAATGTGAGAGCATTAAGGCCGCGGTAGTTGATGCAGAAACGCCACGTGCCATCCGACTTTCGAACAAGGAGGACCGGCGCTGTGAGGTGACGTGGAGATGCGGATGATGCCGGCGGCAAGCATGAGTGCACACTGCCGCTCCAACTCGTCCTTCTGCAGCTGCGGATACCGGTAAGGCCATACCGCCACAGGGGCCGATCCCGGAAGGAGGTGAATACGGTGGTCGTAGATCCGGGCCGGTGGCAGGCCCTGTGGCTCCTCAAAGAGATCCCGGTGCTGCTGCAGGAGGTCGTCCAAGAGCGGATGCTTGGCCTCGGCGGCCGTCACGGCCAGCTGAAGAGGGGGTGCGGGTGCGCCCCCCCCCAATGCCGTCCCACTGAATGCGACGACCCAAACGCCAGAAGGTCATCGTCAGCGCGTCGAAGTCCCAGAGAATGGGACCCAACGTGCGCAAGAAGTTGATGCCGAGGATGAAGTCGAAGCAACCCAAATCGATGTCGGCGCAGGTGATGGTGAAGTGCTCGTCGCTGATAATGATGGGCATGTCGCGAGCGAGCCCGTGGCAGCGTAGACGGTCGCCATTAGCAACAGTGACCCGCAACTGCTCCCCTCCGGCCGACTCTAGTGCAAGGCGCCGCATGGTGGCCTTCGGCAGGAAATTATGCGTGGAACCTGTGTCCAGGAGGGCCACCAGGCGCTCGCCATGGATCCTGATCGGTAAGAGCATCGTTCGTTCATCATGGATGCCGGCCAGCGCGTGAAGTGACACCATGAGGGCAGTAGCCGGGGCAGGTGCGGGTGCCGCTGCGGGCTCCGCAAGGGCTGGGGCGCCGAGGTCAACCTCCGGGGTGTCATCCTCGGTCTCGTCTGTCGTCTCCAAGTAGAAGAGGCGCGGGCAGACATGGCCCGATGCATAGGGCGCATCGCAGTTGAAGCACAGGCCTAAGCGTCGGCGTTCTAGCTGCTCCGCCTGAGTAAGGCGCCTGAACGGCCGCGTCGGTGCCGGGGTGGCTGCCGGGGCGGCGGTAGAGGACGCCGGTGCTGTCGGAGGCGGCCGGGGGGGCTGGCGGCCCCCACGTGGCGCAGATGGCCGCGTCAAAGCCTGGGCACGCTGCTCGAACGCCCGAGCATAGTACATGGCCGTCTGAAGGTCTTGTGGCCCCTTCATCTCGACGTCCACGCGGATGTGGTCGGGAAGGCCGTCGACGAAGAGCTCCGCCCGTTGTAAGGTCGTCACACCAGGCGCGTGGCATGCTAGTGCCTGGAAGCGGTTGGCGAAATCCTACACCGTGAAGGTGAAAGGCAGGCGGCCCAACTCGGCCAAGTGGCTCCCGCATACCGGTGGTCCGAACCGAAGAAGACATAGCTCGCGGAAGCGATCCCACGGTGGCATGCCGCCCTCGTCCTGCTCGAGGGCGTAGTACCATGTCTGGGCGGCCCCGCGGAGATGGTAGGAAGCCAGCCAAGTGCGCTCCGACGCGGGCGTGCGCTGTCCATGGAAGAACTGGTCACACTGGTTGAGCCAGTTAAGCGGGTCGTCCGAACCGTCGTACGTGGCGAAGTCGATCTTTGCGAACCGGGGCGGCTTCTGGTGTGGCGCGCCCTGGCCCACTGCCTCGGCGGTACGGAGGGCTGATGACGGAGCTCGGTCCAAGGTGGAAGGGCCGGCGTAGTTCCCTGTGGCGCCTGACGCCTCGGGCTGCAACTGGAACCCTGACGGCGGCCGGGCCTCCGTGGAAGCCGACGGCGGCCCGTGGAGCCAGCCGGGAAGTGGCGACAGTGATGAAGGGAAACGAACCTCCTGGATCGGAAGGCCGCTCGGCGAGGACCGGCCCAGGCTAGGGTTGGGCGGGGGCGGTGGTGGAA